CTGAATGTGGCTTCTGCCAAGATTTCAGCTGGTAACCACAGACATGCAAGACAAGACAATAAACTTGCTGTTTCTGAAAGGGTTTGACAACTGTAGGCATAACATAGCCTGAGAGGCTGCTTAAGGGATTGGTTCCAGTGAACTGGGAACAACATTATTTCGAGGGCTTTACTGGCATTACGCATCTTTGAATATAAGCGTTCTAATTCATGTCGGAATTAAACAGATGGTGAAAAATTTGTTGCAGGAATCAATTTTTAATTGTTGTGAAACGCTTAAGCAAGACTGTGCGACCCAACAAAAAAATGTACCTCCCCAACATATCAGGCAGTCTGCTCCAGGTGTGTGTACCGTACAGTATAATTAACTCTTTGAGACTTGGCCAAAACAACAAAATTTATTGCTGCAATTCAGAACTCCACTGAAAAAGCTGCCAAAAGTTTCAATCATTAGTCTGACAAAGCATATGTCCAGCAGAGTAAATCACTGTAATGCCATTGCTCTTTTTTTTAAAAAAGACGCAGTTTTGTACACTGGCACTGAACTGTTAAAAGAGCACAACTTCTTTGCTGTACTGAAGCAATATAAATATGACATTTATAAAGTCGGAACATTTCACTTATTAGTCTGATTGTAATCTAGGAGCCATGATGTTTTTTGTGAACAATGAATGCCATTATGGGGATTTCAACATTATTTTTTAATTAAAGCACCACCTGAGCTGAATTTCCAAGCCCTCCTCTCCACCTTTTATTCCATTCTTGGCACATTTCGATCATTACCAAAGGGGAGCCAACAATCCTGACAAGCACGATTGGTCCTCACTCGCCAGTGCTTCACGTAACAAGTGCAAGGCACAGGATAGTTCCACTTCCTATATTGCTGAGAGAGCAACCGTCCATGCATCAGGCTACTCCAGTTCAGACTGCATGAGCTCTATGACAGATGTCATACAATTCAGCACAATGTGTTAGAAATATGCCAGGGCACTCTGATCTTTTTTAATCACTTTGCAGGAGATTACATTTAATATATTATAATGTACTTTGGCAGAAATCCAAGTCCAATATTCTTGCAAGAACATGCTACTGTTAATAATGCAGGAATATGGCTTTTTTTTTCTTTTTTGTTGAGAGCTAGTGTATAAACTGAAAATGGGCTGCCAAGAGCAGGAAAAAAATATTTTAAAAAAAACAAAGAAACCTGGAAATGTGTTTCTTGACCTTTTCTGCAATGGGGTGCAGTAGGGCAAAGGGGAAGTGGTTTGATGATGTTCTGTGTTGTATGGAGGATCTAGAACCATAAAATCTTACAGCACAGAAGGAGGTCATTCGGCCCATCGTGCCTGTGCCAGCTTTGAAAGAGCTACCAACAAGTCCCACAAGGGACTAAGGTTTGTTTGAAAACCTTAGTTCCAAGGTCTAACCTCCATCATTTAGAGTTAACAGTATGGATCTATTCTGCTCAGTTATTTTGTTAGGACAAACATGCAGTGCATCAGAGGGCTTTGCTTTGTTTTGTGTTAGATATAAAATTCACGCAATTACGAAACTTCTTCTTTAAAGAAACATTCCGTTGCCTTAACAGCAAGAAACAGCAATGTCTGCAGTTATGCGACTTGCATGTGGCTGTGCTCAGTTGCTCCTGACCACTTTGCAAGGACATATTTCTGCTGCAACCCGTGTGCTGTGGAGCTGGCAAAGGCTAGACTGTGATTGCTGGCCAACTGGCAGCACATTTCATGGGTGTATTATTCTGAACACCAAAAACAAAACATAATATACTACAGTAGTGGCTTCATTAGAAAGAAGGGCAGCATCAAAAGCGATTAGCCTAAGATAAAACTCAAGAATGCTCAGGTAAACATAATGAGTATTTTACGCTTGGAAAACCCTGCAGCTGGATTCTTTGTTGTTTAATATTTATTAAATACGGGTGTAAACGTTTTGCAATTCATATCGATCGCAAGGTAAAACTGCAATACTCCATACTCAGACTTCATGCTCGGATTGTGGTATATGTTAAAAATCCATTTTATTTACTGTTCATCGCAAAGCTCAATGGGCAACAGGGCCAGACTTCTAACAAGAAGCCTTTGGGACTGATTGCCAACAAGGTTGACCAGCTCTCCTCCAAGGTGCTTAATTGAACAAAGAATCACGATGTTCCACATTGGTGTGGGAGGGGGAGGTAACAGAAACAAGCTTGCCCAGTCACCATGTTAGAATGTAACCGTGGACACATCCATGGCTCAGCCCCTTCTCCTACGACATCCAGCACATGCCTTCAGGCAGCAAGGACAGTGGTTTAATGACTTGAAGTCAACACACGGCCCTGTTTGCTCTATGACTGCATAACTCTACTAAAAAAGCCAACACAGCAGAGTGCTATAAACCTCGTGGACAGACCTCCCATCTTGTACAGTCGGTGCAGTGAGCTTCTGAATCAGAAGCCACAAATGTAAATGTTCCATTTGATGAAATTGCACACAGTGTACCATAAAATAATTTTCCAGCAAATATTTACACACCTCAACTGCCATATTGAGGTATTTACTCTCTGTGCCCCTGTGTTTCATTGTTTGTAACAGTTTTCAAAAAAAACCACATACTGTATAAAGACAGGTCTTCCCTTACAGTGAGACATTGTAAAATATTGGCAAAGAATGAATGGTATGATTAATAAACGGTCAGTTTCTTTATAGACGAATAATAAAATCTGTACTTTTACAGAAATTGACACAAACGCTTTCACTTGCCTTTTACTGAAGTAGGACCTGAACTGGCATTGGATTTGGAAGAAGTGTTGAGTTTGGAGCAGACAATGCAGCAGAATTTTGAGACTAATTTGGGGTTTCAAGGCGTAATCCACAAGATCACTTTCTAGTAATAAGAATAACTCTTTAAATAACCCAAGCCCCAAATAGAGAGGGGTTTCCAGCATGAAGGTGACTGATAGATATGCAGTCTTTCCTCTGCAGACACTCAGTGACTGCTCTACTCTCCACAATGCCTCCCAGACATCTCTTTTTTTTAAAAAAAGCTTTCCTCCTAACTTCCACAAAATAATTTTTGAGATGATTTTGTTGTGGGTCTATGCAAAATCCTAGCCTTACACCATCACATAATTCCATGTTGTCATGGTGTCCCGATTAAACTTTAGTATGAGTTTGTGTTTTGATGGAATAAACTCGGGGGGGGGGGGGGGCGGAGGTCGGGGGGGGGGGGAAGGGGGGTGACTTTTGACCCTTTCCAAATCATACTTTTAATCAGGAAGTTCAGCAGAAATTGCTTATATCAGCTATAGAAAGAGGACTCCTATCTGACAAGTTCCTCTTCACCCTCCCAAAATACTTTGAATCTCATCAATATCAATCGCACCGTGAATTATTCACTTAAACTAGACTAGGCTTGGGATTGTTTGCTCGAGGCAAGAATCTACATAGATTGGGTGTGGGAAGGAACTTGAATAATACAAATATTGCGACTCTTTAATTGTGCATCTATAATCTTTCATTATTAAGTAATATTACATTGCACAATAGGTAGCTTCAAATGATGCCAAACCCTGCCTCCTGGCCACCTGTCTTGCAAACACACCAAAGTGCTCTAGATCTTAAATAGAGACACTATTTTATGTGAATATATCTTAGGTAGAAGCAGTTTAAGCATCAGCCAATCCTTAAATAATAATAATAATAATCCTTGCATTCGATATAGTGCTTTTCACGTCTTCTGGACATCTCAGATATAGTGCTTTTCACGTCTTCTGGACAGCTCAGCGCTTCACAGAATATACTGTAAAGTGAATTGACCATATATTTGTGGGCGAAACGCGGCAGCCAATTGCGTAAAGCAGCGTCCCACAAACAGTTGTGGATTGAAGAAACAAAATCCATGATTTTGATATTGTCTTACATTCCATATTATATATATTTTTCCACATACCTAGTTTATCTCCTACTTTTTGTATTTGTCTATCGGGGAATAAGTTACATCAGGCTGATTTACAACCAACTGTATAATAGAGGTTATCATATTCCTATATAATGCAGACTTCAGTTTACATCCCTGCTATTTATTTGAAGAAAAATCTGGTCTTCTTAGAAGAAGTCTTGCATTTAAGACTTTGTTTTAATTTTAGTTTATAAGTGATATCATGGGTGTGGACCAGGTTACGCATTGCAAAACAAATTGAAACCCACCTAATTCAAGGACACACAATAACTGGAGCGTCCACTGAGATAAGCTGCCTCCATCCACTGAGGAAACTGACAAAATCTTTTCGCTTCCATGCAACAGAAGACCTATTGACCCCAGAATGTGTTTTCAAGCCTCGCTTCTGTGACATTGTTTAACCCCGGGCTGGACTCCATTCACTATTACCAATCTTTTAAGTGTTGAGCAATAGAAAATACTTTTAAAAACTTTAGAATTTATTTGGTCTGGTTTCGAACATCGCCGGAGTGCGATTCCCACCCCCCCCCCACCCCTCGTAAGCAAGCTCACCGCACTATCCCACAGCAGGCGGTTCCAATTAGGTGGTCGCACCCTCTAACCCGAAATTTACCCTGAACCGGTAAAAAAAAAAATAATAATCCTTGCATTTGATATAGCGCTTTACACGTCTTCCAGACGTCTCAAAGCACTTCACAGAATATACTGTAAACTGAATTGACTGTATATTTGTGGGCGAACACGGCAGCCAATTGCGCACAGCAGTGTCCCACAAACAGTCGTAGATTGAAAATGACCAATTTATTATTGTTTCTTTTTGGAGGGATTATTATTAGGTGTGTGGAGTAAGGAAACTTGCCCAAGATTTCGCCCTCTGCCTGGAATTGAACTCAGGTCTCTCGCTTGCAAAGCGAGTGCTCTAACCACTGAGCTACAGGACTCCACAATGATGATAATAGTCCTTGCAAATGCATTCCGCATGAAGAACCAAGTGTGTAAAGCAAAAAAGAGGACTTCAAAATTGGTAAAGTGGAGTCCGTTTACCTAATGTGGGTGCGAGTGTGGAGACCGCATTGGCCGGGTCCAGTTGGAATCCGCCCAGCATGAACTGGGCGTCCGCGGTGTTCTCCAGCTTCAGGCCGGGCAGGTTCATGTTCTGGGCCAGGTAGTATTGGTAGAGTTCAGCCTCTGCCGGCGCCAGGTTGCCGAGCCCCAGGTGTCTGTTGTGCTGAATCTGGTTCATGTTCTGCTGGAGCAGCATCATGTTGTGCATGTGCTTCTCACTGGTCATATGAATGCGCAGGTTCCGGGCTACATTCGTCTCGTAGTCACACACTTCGCAGCGCCAGGTGGGTTTGCTTTTTGGTTTGGTGGGCGAGGAGGCCCCGCAGCTGCTCATGTTGGCGGCGGCTGCCGCGGCGGCTGCTGCTGCCGCCGCTGCCACGGCTGCCCCCGTCGTGTGGCTGAACACCTGCTCCCCCCCGCCGCCGTTCTGAAGGTTCTGCATGTTGTTGAGATGCTTGTCGGACTGCATATGAATACTGAGATTGCCTTTGGTTGTGGTGGAGTAGTTGCACACCTCGCAGCGGAACGGCTTGTAGCCGCACGTGTAGCTCTCGCCCCGGGCCAACCGAGGGTGGGGCTGGCCGGTCTTACAGTACGCGCACGAGCCACCGGAGTCCGGGTGCTTCTCCTTCATGTGGGCCTCCAGCGTCTGCTGGTACTTGTAATGCCAGTTACACTTTGGACACTTGAGGGTCTTGCACGAGTTCCGAGAATGCATCATGGTCATGTGCCCCCCGAGCGAGCGCGAGGAGCCCAGGACAGTCTCACACTTTGGACACTCGATGGTGCTTGTGGTGGAGCATTCCCCACCCCCCAGTTCGTAGGGAGCGATGATATGCTGGTGATGGGAGGTACAGTTTCCCTCCTCGCCATCGACAGGTTCATTTGGTTCAGGAGCTGTGGCACTGTCTTTATTGGCACTTTCATCTACAAAGTCCATCCTATTACTCTCAGTATGACCGATACTGCTGTCGCCGCTTGCACTGTCGTTTGACAAGCTCACCGCATTCCTCCCATTTGCACCATCGAAAACAACAAAGGAAGAAGTAGAAGAAGAAGAGGTGCCCCTCGGAGAAGGGTTGAGCACACTAGGCATTAAAGGAGATTTAGAAATGCTTTGGTTTGAGAGAGCGAGGTCCTTGCTGCTACATGCGTCGCCCTCAGGGTCTTCCTGGGGCTCATCATCGTCCTCATCCGACTCGTTTGGGAACAGTTCTTTGCACTCCTCGTCTTCATCCACCTGTTCGGCGGAGTCAGCCTTTTCCATGAGGCTACAGTCAGCGCTAAACTCTCCACTGGCTTTTTTCTTCTCGATTTCCATCCCCAAATCCTTGCTCTCTGACATTTTGGTCGGCCCGGAAGCAAGGTGGCCCAGAGGGACTGAGGTAATTGGGGTCTTTAGGGCTGAGCTCGTCAACCCGCCAAGGTTCAACAGAGCACTTTGTGCCAGCGGGATTGAGTGAGGCTGCTCAGCTGTACTTGAGCTACCTTCAGAATCTTTTAGTAAAGCCAAACCAGCCTGGACAGCCTCGTCACCATCGACATGAATTCCGCTAAATGTACCATAGAAGTTCTGACCAGGGCCAATGAGGTTAGCTGTGGAAACTAAAGGGTGTTGAAAGTTTTTGTTTTTTGGTTCCAGAAAGCTTATAAGAGGTTCCTTGTCTTTGCCTATCCCTTGGATGATAGCAGACACGTTCTTATTACTTAAGAGCTTGCGCTCTTCTTCACTAAGGGTCATTCGGTGGTCATGCACAGCATGCGTTACAAATGACCTCACATATCCAAAAGACAACTTGCACAAAAAACACATTAAAATCGGCTTTCGCTTGCCATAGAGCACGAAACTGTCAAACTTAGACAAGTCCACATTGTTAGGGACATCTTTGGATACACAAGAGTTTTTGGCAGAGCCATCACTGTTCAGGTAATCCTTGTTGCTTTTGTGTCTCAGATCAAAAACACGGAAAGTGTGCAAGACAGGACTGATTCCTGCCAGTGCTGAGGTATTTGGGAAGGCCTGGTCAGAACCAAACCATTTCCCAAAAGATGAGGCTATGTGAAAAGTGTTGATGATCTGTGGATAGACAGAGACGGACGTTGCAGAGGTGGACTCCCCTTGCTTGCTCCCAGCGCTGGACATAGAGTTCATGAACAATGCTGGGAGAACACTACTGCCGCTGGGCCCTCCAGTTTGGACGCTCTGCATCAGCTGGTTCACATTCTCCACGATGTAGGCAGACCCGTCTGGCTGATAGACTATCTCGCCGGCCAGGTTCTCCACATCGCTTTCCTCCGCCTCGCTCATGTCGCTGTCGCTTTCCTCCTGGAGGAGCTGAGGGTGGGCGTTGGGGCAATGGTGTTCCATGTACTTTTGTAAACTTGAGAATGAGGAGGAGCACTCGTTGCAGCTGACCTCCTTGGTGGACAGCGAGCTGTGTGACACCACGGCTGCGGCGGCAGTCTCTGAGCTCCGCTCGTCCAAAGATGCCCTTAGGTTCTCACACGGGATGCAGTTCTCGCGTGCAGACTCCATTGAACCAGCTTTGTCAGAGACCTGGGTGTTGGGTTCAGTCCATTCCTGATGCTGGGAGGTGCTACACCCATCCTCTTGCCCAGTGATGGTAGGGGAGTCACAGGTTTCCATAGCGATGGCTACATGGGGGTTTCATTGCATCCAGTCCCGCAGGGGCCTACAGAGAGAAGCAAGAGGAAATAATGACCACATTGCTCGTAACACGACCATAAACTCACACGTGATGTACTGTCACGAAAGATAAATTAGCCTTTATAGCAATAAACACCTCCAATACTTTATAGAAAGATTAACAGCAATTCGAGTTTGTATTTCAGGCAAGAAAAAGAAGAACGTCTCCAACTCATACATGGATGACAATCTGAAAAGTCCGTGTGATGTGCACACCAAAAGGCACCAAGAGAAAAGTGAACCTGGACTAGCATAGATCTCTTTCTGTCTATTCCCAGGAAGCTTCCGAATGCCCAGGAAAGTCAAATTATAAATCTTGACTGACATCGTACATACTCAAACGCTTCCAGCAAGACTGCCAATCTGAGACTTTCTTGTATTGACAGCAGCTCCTAAACAGACAAGAGGCAACGCTCCACACACACAAGAACAAAAGTATGCATGTCACATGAAACGTTTGCATTTGTAAGTTTGCCAACGGGTTAACCCTTTTCAACTCAAAACAGCTACCAAACAGCCACCCTGAGTAATTCTCCAAACGAAAGGAGCACCTTGGGACGCACAAGAGTTGTTGACAGTCTTCGCCTTCTGAGTGATGCTGGCGGCTTGTGCTGTACATCAAAAACATGGCTTCAAAGCAGGACTGAACTGTTCTAAAGGGACCTGGGAGTCTTTCTTCATTCACTGTTGCTTGTGACAGAAGGCTGCCAAGGAGATCGCAATATACACCAGGAACCAAGGACCCGGGCCGGAGAAGAACGGGCAGGTGGGAAAGTGGGCAAGTGAAGCTACAACACTGTCAAGTTGTTGGTGGAAATGGACCATTGGGGGAAAAGGAATAGCTGACCACATCCTTCAGTGTGTAAGCTGTGCAGTGAGCGATTTTCCTCTCTGGTTAGTTAAATGAACAATAAACTTCGCTGGAAGAGACAGACATCCAAACAAAATACACAATTAATTTATATATTATATATATATGTATGTACACACACAACATGGTTCTACCAGAGCAGCAGCACCCTGCTCTGGTATTCATAACCTTTTATTATTTCGCCCACAAAATACAGTCAATTCACCTTTCAGTATGTCCTGTGATGCGATTTGAGATTTGAGACAACAACAACAACAACAAGATTCCATTTATAAAGCGCCTTTCACGTCAGGAGGACGTCCCAAGGCGTCTCAGTGACGTGATATTCAGTGAATTAATGTTTCCAGTAAATTCATGTTTCCAAAAACTAAAAAGGGCTTAGCGGCTTATTACAGAGGAAGCAAGGAGGGGCCCAAAAAAGAATAAAATGCCCAATGGTACGAGTAAAGAGAATAATCCTTTCCTTATAACAAGGAAAGCATGTTCATGCGCACCCCCAGAATAACAGGGGACATCATATTTCCTGACATCATAAAAGGTAATCTGGTCAAGGGTATAAACTGTTATTTTTCTCTAAAATTGCAATTCTAATCTAGTCTCAAATTATTAATGACTCTCACAGTTATGCCAGTGTGCAGTAGTTTTGATCCTGAGTGGATATAAATCGCGTAATTTTGCTGAAGTCTAACTGTATATGTGACAAACGTTCCTTATTGGCAATAGGTACATTCTGGTGGGCCTTCTCCACCAAGTGGAATGACAGTGTGATGAACTAGTAAAGCAAACATTTACTTAACCCGAGATCAATCAATATACTTTATTCACAAAATTTCCACTCTGGAAAGCGATCCGACAGCCAACTGGCTGAAGGTTAGACGAATCTTTGGCATTCTGTGCGCATTGCTCACCAAAATGAGATTATATATTTTTTTTTAGAAGAAAAAACAAAAAGCAAGTACCTCTAATGCAATTACTTATGTTCTTTACAGTCTAAAGTGGATTGTCTATAGTTTTGCCTTGCTATAGGGCTAGAGCAGCAAGATTGTTTGCTCAGTGTTTCACTTTGACAGACATCTGCTCAGCTACAAGTACCTAAACTGTCACTAATTATAAATGAGATTTATAGCATGTGCATTCAATGCTGGGTATGACTTTGCAGCTTTGTAATAGAAGGTGATTATCCTACCACTGTTGGGTATAAACGACTGTGGACGATTTCAAAGCTGGCAGTGATTCCTGCCCCCTGGAAGGTAACGATTTCAAAGCTGGCAGTGATTCCTCCCGATGCCTTCTAGCTCTGAATGAAATGGCTTGTAGGAGATAGATTGCGACTCTCAGGATCTCAAACTCTGGGAAGCTCGGAACGTGTTGGAACCTTTAACATTCCGGATCCCATTTTTCAGGAATACAGAGAGAGAAAAAAAAGTATTCTTCCTTTCTAATACATTCACCTGTCCGATAAACTGTGCACAGTTCAGGTACTTCTTAACAACTTTGCACAGATTTGCACAGATCTAGGATGAAGGGATCAAAGTACCAGATACAGTACTAATTTCCTCAAGTCTCCCTTGAGGATTGGACCGATTGTACAAGTGTCAGATTGGGAGCACTTTTCCCCACATCTCTGGATGGGATGTGGGCTCGTTCATGTTGATTGAAATGCCCCAATTCTTACGCGAGCAAAGTTATTACACAGGCAAACTGTGTTTACCTGCTGTCAGCAAAGGTGGCGCCCAAAGTCTGATTCAATCCACATCGACTCATTGGAAAAAAAATCCACATCGATTTCAACTTGAAAATTCAGCCATCCTTGTTTTCCCCAAACATAACTGATGTGCTGATCCAACTGCACAGCCTGCACAATCATTTCCTTAAAAAGTGCCTCAAATTTTCCTGTTTGAATTGAACTTTCACCAACATAATGGAGCGGGCACGATCATATATTAATGAATATCATAAATTATTAAAGTGCATCCTTCTGATGAAGTGTGAAACTGCTACATTAAATATTTCTGCTCCTAATACACGACATGCTAACTACATTTTAATGTGCCTGGCTATGCTATTCACCATGACTGACCCGAAAGGCTTTCAAGTGTTTTTTCCCCCCTACCACTCTGGGCATTGCAGGGTTAATAACCTTATTGAATAATCAATACCATAAATGCTTCTCAATTTACAGGAAAATGTGCTCTGCTAGGGCTGCTATTGATAAACTGGCACTTCTTTGATCTTGCATGGGGAACCAGTTTACTGAAAGTGAGTGTGGCACTTCTAAGGCAGAGCAAGTAAAGACCTTCCCAGGAATTAACAATTCAATCTCCTCTCCCACTTCCTCTTCTGTCGCTGGTTAAAAAAAAACTAAGAATCTGCATAAAAAGCTCCAAAGCTGAACAAAGTCTGCCTTTTCTGGAAGCGGCCTGACCACCGATTTTACTTGTGGCTCTTAAGTTTCTCAGCAACACTTTTCAATATCCCTGTGACCTTTCACTTCAATAAAAAGACTTCGGAGAAATCGTCACCTTTAAAAATGAGAATTAAAAAGAGAAGCAGGCTATTTATTACCACCAGCTCCATTTTTACTTTGTTTCCAGCTTTAATTTTGTCTGTCAAACTCTTCGGGTTGTTCTAATTACAGTGTTGCCTGGACAGAGAACTCGGCTGGTACTAGTGTAAAACGGGCTCTCTCGCTCTCCTCTCGCTTGCTTGTCACTCCCAACGCTCCTTGGTCTGGGCTGTCAACCTCAGGGACAATATGGAGAGGCTGCCTAAGGATTCTGTCCCAAGCTTTCTCCATCATAACCTCCCCCACTCCCCCCACGAGATCCCCATTCAAGCATAACACCAACTTATATCCGATTAATGCTCCCGTTGTTTATTTGAGATGTTTCTATTTCATTTTAATCTCTTTTGTCTTACTGAATTAAATCCTCTTTTGTGTGTTTTGTTTGATAGTTGGTTCTCCCCAATTCCAGCCCCCCACCCCACATTATTTGCCCCTCTCCTTGTTCAGGTCAACTGGAACCTAAGTGTTCCATTCCATCACTAGACCTCCACTCCACCACCCAAGTGTGGACCGAGTCATAGTGAGTGAGGGTGAGGGTGAGGGAGAGGGGAAAGAGGAAAAGAAGAACAAAAGAGAAGCCACAGAAGGAATGCAGATCGACTCCCACTCTGGTAGTCCACTCACTCCCCATAAGCGGGAGCTTAGAGCTGTCTTAACCCAAAGAAGAATCCAGGAGGGGAGATATCACACATATGGCAGAACATATCAACATACTAATAAACTACATTACTCAGGTCATTGCTTAATGTCCCCCACCCCCAGCAATAATATCATGCCCAGTGTCACAGGCTGCCTAGCTATGACATGGAAAAGAATGCGCACGACCAACATTCTCCTGTGGAGAATAAAAATAGTCAAAATGAAAGATTGGCGGGGTAAGAGAGAGAAGAAAGGGGAGAAGATGCAAGCCAAAAAAAACTTATTAAGCAGGATGCATCGCACAAAAGAAATTCTGCGTGCAGTGTTCTGGAGGCGATGGGCAGAGCAGATAGGTGACAAAGCACAGGGAGGATTTAATCTGCTCTAAATCCAAAAGCACTACGGCAGATAATAAGCTATCAATATACACTTGCGGGATATGCAAAGCATGTTGCTCAGACACTTGCAGTACATTTGTGTGGGTGAAGGGGCTGACAGAGGGACTAGCGAGCGTAAACTTTTTTTAAAAAAACACACACACACACAAAATAATGTTGTAAAGTGTGCTGTCTTATTTGTTTGTGAAACAATCAATATTGCACGCTGGCAGATCATGTTCTGTGCAGCAGATGACGACAATAATGCACTGAGACTGATAAGCGATGTAAATCAAAAATTATCATATCTGATAAAACCATTCTGTCTTCTCAGCATGATGTCCAGTTTTCATCAAGTACAATTTATTCTAATCATCTTCCTCCATAAGACCATGGTCCCCAGTGAGGGATCACAGCTCTGTAAATGGCTATTCAAGGACAAGATGAGTTCTCGCTACCTTAATTTCCGTTCGGCAACTACTCCAGC